ACAACTCACACAACCTTGGAGCACTCTGACTGTGCCTTCATGGTGGATAATGAGGCTATCTATGACATCTGCCGTCGTAACTTGGACATTGAGAGACCCACTTACACCAACCTGAACAGACTGATTGCTCAGATTGTGTCGTCCATCACTGCATCGCTCCGATTTGATGGTGCCTTGAATGTTGACTTGACAGAGTTTCAGGTAAGTTATAACTGAAACTGAACGTTTCTCGTGTTTTTCATAACTGACGAGAGTATTGGTATCTGTTGCATTAGCTTGTTATATATTTGATATCTTCGTTTCTGTCCAATTTAGACCAACTTGGTACCATACCCCCGAATTCACTTCCCTCTGGCCACCTATGCCCCAGTGATCTCTGCAGAGAAAGCCTATCACGAGCAGTTGACAGTCGCTGAGATTACAAACATGTGCTTTGAGCCAGCTAATCAGATGGTAAAATGTGACCCACGTCACGGTAAATACATGGCCTGCTGTCTTTTATTTCGTGGTGATGTGGTGCCCAAGGATGTGAATGCAGCCATTGCAACAATCAAGACGAAGAGAACCATTCAGTTTGTAGACTGGTGTCCCACTGGATTCAAGGTATTCTAACTACACCCATACGAGAAATTCAATGTGAAAATACAATCTTAATATGTGTACAATCAAACTAAGGGATCAACAAAAAGGAACCTATGCAAAGCCAGATGCGAAAAACCACTAAAAACATCACTCTTTACATTTGGCCAAGATATTAGGGGAAAGGTATTCCTCATCTAATGCAGCAGCACAATACTTCGAGGAAAGGTAGTAAACTGGTTATACCACTAATCACTAAGAAAAAAAGGAGTTGGCAAACGAAAATTACAACAAATGCAAAAAAGGGGTCAAACATATGACTGACCGACCTAGAATGACCTAATTTAGCCGCAAAAGGCTCAAACAATCCTAACTTTCTTCGATGTCACGCGAACCTCTTCGACGTGCCATTAAAATATAAATTTCTGACTAATTCGTTTCCATGCAACTCAAACGTCAGAGAATTACATATGTTTTGACAGCAAAACTAGACTACGTTGCTAGACTACAGATTAAAAGTGAAGGGCATTGCGCAAGATATCTTTTCTCCCAGTACCTCTCTCCACAGGGGTACTCTGGGGGACCCCTGGGGTATTTTAGTACAGGTGATCTTTCTTAGAAACATTATAGAGTGCTAAGGTAACTTGCCATTAGAAAAATACAATCCAAGGAAGAGTAACTACAGTCTTAGTCGTTCCATGCAGCAGAAATCAGGATAAGCTACCAAGGTGCTTGCCAATGGGCCCGTCAACAGACTTATTATTATATATGATGCGTGTAGAAGTCATCAAAAACTTCTGCGCTGTATCTGTTTGATTGTTAGATTTATCTTTTTCTCTCATAGGTTGGAATTAATTACCAGCCTCCCACAGTTGTTCCTGGCGGTGACCTGGCCAAATTTCAACGTGCCGTGTGCATGTTGAGTAACACCACAGCTATTGCAGAGGCCTGGGCCCGTCTAGATCACAAGTTTGATCTGATGTACGCCAAGCGTGCGTTTGTCCACTGGTATGTGGGTGAGGGTATGGAGGAAGGAGAGTTCTCTGAGGCTCGTGAGGATTTGGCTGCATTGGAGAAGGATTATGAAGAGGTTGGAGTAGATTCGCTTGATGAAGAAGGGGAAGATGATGGAGAAGAATTCTGAAGAATACTGAAAAGGAATGTCATATGTGTCATATGTATCTTGCGTTTAGAGTTGAACATTAAAACTTTATCCCATGAAATTTAAGTGGTTGAATGTTTCTTTTACAGAAAATTTGTGATTGGTTCATATTACTTCGTTTTTACCGATTGAGAAGTTTGACGTCCATAGGAAACTCAGTTTTAGCTTTTAACTGTTGAGCGTCCCTTGATGACCTGCTAGCAGGTTCTCATTGGCGCTGCGCGTCACGTGCGGTGAAGCCCCCGAGTCAAAGCGAGCACGTGAGGGTTAAGCAGAGTATGTGTGAACTCTCCATTCGCGCACCAGTTCGAATTGCGCGAGCTTATCCTTCCAAACGAGTACTTTTAAATAAAGAGAGGCAGGAGATATCAATAATTGTCACTGATTCCCTTAGAGAAGAAACAGAATAAGTTTACCCCTGTTTCCTGATTGAGTTTGTAAAGCTTTTGATGCATAAATACCGTCCAGCATCTACCAGAACAACCACAGACTTTGCAATCACCACCTTTATTTTAAAACTGATCAGCGCCATCGATAATTGCATCTAATCAAAACCTTTTTCCCGAATTTTTTTGTTAGGATGACAACATTCTTGGGAAATTTTAAGGTTTTTTTTACTACTTAGAGTCTGGCCATAATTTAGCCTCAATGGACCTAAACTGTAAAATGGAGAACTATCGAGGACTTACTCGTGGACTAACTTAGTCAGTTCATGATGGCTCCAAAAATGTCGAGTTGAAGGAAGATACCACGACATGAGTCAAATGGGGAAAATTGCTGTGTTTAATAACCATGAATGGTAGGTCTTCTTATGTCATGCAAATCTTTGAAGCTTGGAAATTCTTGAATAAAAGCGGGTAGTTTAATAGCGCTGCGCGGACAGTCTAAAAATTGATTTGTGACGTTTGGACCCCCCCGCCAATTTATGACAAACACTAGGAGAAAGTTTGTGGAACGTGACGAATATCGAGAACCTGATTTTGCTCTAATATTTGCTTTTAAAGAAGAAATGGTCGCAACTAGGCATTGTTGTTGGGGAAAATGTAACAACACCTCAAGGTATCCTGAAAGATTACCAGATTCTCTGAAAGAAATTATAAAAACGAGCAGAGAGCACTCATACGACGCCTTTCCCAAAGCCCGGCGAAGCATGGATTAGAGCATACATACATGCATGCATGCATGCATGCATGCATGGTTAGATTAGGGGCAGCCAGAGGCTGATGTGGACCTACTGTCAAACTTCATTACAAATTACAAATTCTGTAAAAATTTAGCAAAAGTTAGCTAGATAGACAATTATCAGATTAACTTAAAACAGCGATAGTAAAAATATGTATAGTCTTGATTCTTAAGACACCATGCAGGCTTCTTTCAGAAAGCTGATGTTTGTGATAAAATTCCTATGGCGAGTTTTTTTAAAGAGGTTTTTAAAGTTCTTTAAAGAGGGGGACTGTTTGAGAGCGGATGGAGTTAGTTCCCATACTAATGGACCTCTGTAGTTTCTGCCCTGTCAACGATGGGTCAATGCGTGCTCTAGAGAGAATTTCACTGTGGAAAATGTTGATTATAATACATACATTTGAGATACAATGAAATATATGAAGTTCATATATTTTGTACTGCGGTATTAGATACATATGATGCACGATCCTCGCAGTAGATAGCGCTATTTAAGCAATAGCGAAAATACATACATTTGTGCAGTACACTGGCCAGGTGGGAAAGGACCGACCGATAAGTTTCCTGACCTTTTATTAACCCTTCCGCTGGCAAACGTAGGAATTCGTACGCTCTGACCCTATCCATACTAAAAACCCCAGGGGACCCCCAGATAGTATTGTTTGAGTTCTTAAAGATTATTATGGTTTGTCAAGTCACGTTCCTTCATTCGTAGCCGTTTTTCCTCGCTGTTTATAGCTAAATTTGACCGGTTTTTCGCGAAGAAAATTTGCTCACGCAATACTATCCTTTTAAGAATGGCGTCTGCATGGATTCCAGACGAGGAAGCACGGCGAATTGTGTTAGAGGATGATCCTAACGAAGTTTTCTTTTGAGGGAAAAGGACCGTTACTATTTAGACTTATGAACTGTATGATTTTCTTTGAATGTATGTCAAGTATTTCATACTGCATTTTTTCTTGTGCCTACACTCTTGAAGGTTGCTATGGATTGTCATTTTTTTATAAGAACAGAACCATTTTTACCTTATTGTCCATTTATGGTTCTTTGTGTCCTTCCTGGTTACTATTTTGGTGATTTCAAGTCAAGCTAGCAAGATGTTACTCAAGTATAGTTCTGCAATATCACATATCCTCTAATTTTTGAAAATTGCTAAGCCGCACCTTGATGAACAGTAAAAGGCATAACTTTGGTTGGAATCAAGATAATTGGTTGGAATAACAAGTGTTTGGTTCCTGAAATAAAACACTTTTGCATAATTCAAAAGTTATGCGCACAAGTACGTTGATGCCTTGTCTTAGTAGAGCAGGAAAAACAACATACTCTTCAAACATTTTGTTATGCGTGGCTTTTCTGGCCCAAAATTATGTGCACAAGGACCCATATGTAACAAAATATTTTCAAAATGATGGTAAATTTTCTGCTGATTAAAATGATATATAGTTTGTTGGGGTTGAACTTAAAATGTGATGAGCTGTGGCCTGATTTATCGGCTTACATCAAAGAAAAATATTGAGTCCCCAGGAACCTGCCAGCGAAAGGGTTAAAGGCGAATTTCTCCAAGAAAGAAATGAACCGTATGTCGCGAGTTAAGCGAAAGGCGCCAAAACAGCGACCATACGAAACAGAGGTGAAGAAGACAAGAAAACAACTCGAAATCGACTTTGTAGGAGAAACAGATCATTATAATGCCTTTGATCGACTTTATCTCTTTCAAAATCTTTGCTTCCAGCCATTGCCCATCGTCTATGCTTGAATCAAGGACAAAGTGCCCAATTTGAGGCAATCGCGAGCACGTGCGATAAGCTCTTTTCTTTTACCTACACTGCCAACGCTTCAGTTGTGATACCGTATAGTTCTCTGGGTCTTGCTCGAACTGCGAGCCAGGAACACCGTAATTTTCAGTTAAAATTCTAGCTTTTGATGTGTTTGAACAGTAGATATAAGCGAATCGTCGTCCATATTCATTCAATCGAGAAGCTGTTTTGTCCTAATCACTGCAGGGAATGAAAAATCGTGACGTCACGTCCGCTCAGCGCCATTGAATACAAACTTTATTAATTTCTCCGGAAACGTTTTCAGAATTTATTTAAATTTTACCTAACAGTGGATCGATGTCGATTGCTTCTCTCTCTAGTGTGATTAAAACTGGTGTCTCTGTGGTACGTATCTTCCTGCCTTTGTAGCAATTACAACAGGCAGACATTTTATTACAAATACAGAAACATTTAGCGAGATACCCGTTTAACCTCGGCCCACACTTCATACAGTGGAATCCCGATTTCTCGAACCTCCATGGGAAACGCAAATTGGTTCGAGAAATCGCGAGTTCGAGAAATCGGGGGTGGAATTACAAGTGAAGCAAATCCAAGAGAAACAAGGTTTGGTTCGGGAGGTTCGAGAAACCGAGGGTTCGAGAAATCGGGATTCCGTTGTATAGAAAAGACTGAAAACAATGGCAAAAACAACAGATTGTCACTGTGACTACAGCTTTGTGTGAGAATAGTCTTAATCGCTTAACAGGTGCTATGAAAAAGGGAATTAAAAGAGTCGAACTTCATCGCTTGGCGGTTTTGTAATTACCTATGAGGGAACCTTTTTTTTACATTTCTAAGAATCACATCCGTTTTTCTCCATAATTGACGCAGGAGCTGTAAATTTCCATTCTTGTTTTGCCTTTAATACTACATAACCACGACTTTTTCCAGTATCACTATCCAGTGGTAGCATAGATTGGAAAAGGCTTTCAATAGGAGCCCAGTATGGCGGGTATTTGTATCTTGCCGTGTCAAATATCAACACGGAGTTTGATTCGTTGTCCATTGCGGCAATAGGGCTAAAGTGGCCTTCCCCAACTTGACCAAGAGCTTTCCTCGAAAACGAAACTGCCATAAGCTCTTCTGGATGTTCTTCATCGACGAGTTCCTTCTTTGACTTTTTATCACCAGTGCAAACTCGCTCTAAAGCGTGAAGAAACTCTTCTTGATGTTCTTTCGAGTAATTTGGCCGAACAAGTCTCGTTTCTGCTCCATTGCAGTTGGCCAAATATGCAAATTCATCCAAAGTTGTTCGTCCATCTTCTCTCACGACCTCCAATGCCCCGCAGCAGTTTAAAAGTTCTGCAGTATACCATCGCCATGTTGACAAAGCATTCCATTTACGCTGAGGATCTATTCGCAAGGCATTAAGGATGATTGCTAAAGTACTAACTCCGCAATGAGATGGTACGGTTTGACTATTATAGCATGACGACAAAGATAGGTAAGGAACAGCATAACCAGTTTGCAGAGCACGGCAGAGGCGAGTTTTGGACTCCGTAGATCGGTAGTCAACGAGGATATGAGGCAAGGGAGATCCATAAACTGTTCCAGATAAAGAAGTCATCGTGCGGAGGTTTCTGTGACAATCCCAGGAAAGTATTTCAAACCCTCAGGCCAGAGTTAGTAGAGTTATTAACTCTGCTCAGGCGGATTCTTTCTGTTTCAATTGAGCCCGATGTTTTAACTGATTTGAGGATCTTAATTGGGCTTTCCGTCTGCTGTCAACTCTTAACCTCTACTTGTGAAAAATGCAATACTTGACCTTTAAACGACAATTAAGCCGGTCAGCATTTGACGTCAGCTCACTCCTCAATGAGAACTAAATGGAGCAAACTTTTGTCTACCGGCGGAAAATATTTTTATGCACATTAGGGTGAGGGTGCAGTACTGGGGTCATTTGGTTTCATCAACCGAGTTGAGTATTGATTATTGCAAGACACGACCCAAAACTTTACACCTTTCTCCATCCGACTGCAGCAGCACAAACGAGTAAAGATAAGAATAATGGTATTTTTTATCAAAAGCAAAAAATTGCTATCTAAAAAGCAAAAAAGGCTGTGCGTGTTGGTTGCGGTAAAGTACAATCATAATAAAGTATTATGGTTGGTCTCACGATGTAGTCACTATTCACATAAGACTTCACCCTAACAACATCAACAGCGGGAGAGCTCTACGACAGCGGACTGCCGAAGGAACAACTCACAAACATCGAGGAACAAAACGCGCCAGTCATTGCTGTGAAATACCAAGCAATTACAGCGAAGCATGTTGCTTTGTAGGAAGACCCGAAACCAGTCAACCTTATCACCTGATGAAGACTAGCCGTATGCAGTCGAAAGATCGCGATTCACATCACAAGTGAGTACATCGCGAGACAAACGATAATACTTTATTACTATTATTATGCAAATAGTATAATTTAAAGTAGCGGTTTGTTGAAATGAGGCAACGGAGATCCGTAAACTGTTTCAGATGAAGGGCCAACATCAAGCACTTTCTGTGACAATTACGGGAAAGCCTTTCAACCTCGTTTCATTTAGACTTAATTAAGCTCACTGTTTCAACTGATTTGACGATCTCAATAGGGTTTTCCTTCCGCTAAGTGTAAATATGCGATACCTTGACACCGTCAATAAAGCCAGCCTGTATTGGAAGTCTGTCCTCGCCCCATTAAGGAGTAAATTAAGCGAAACTCCATGACGAACTTTGCCTACCGGAGACAATGATCAACAATTATTCACCACAGTGGAGGAGGCTAGCACTGTAGATATTTGGCAAGCCGCTCAGCCGCGGAGACTAGCAGTAGATATTTGCCAAGCCGCTCCGACGCGGGATCGGTAAACTATCCACCGCTAGCGTCCTCCACTGAGGTGAATAGTTGTTTAAATAGAAACTAAACGAATGAGATGATGTAGCACCGAAAGATAATTTTAACTTATCTATTTCTTTAACGATTATAATATTTTCAGAAGCAAATCCTTCACGAGTTGCTCGGAGGTAAAAACTTTGAGTAGCCAATCAGAGCGCACCTTAGATGCTACCCACTGTTTTATAATATAAACTAAAATGAATTGGCCACCGTACATATTCCAAAGCTGACGTTTTTCGCTTTAGCCCTTTGTGAGAGGAAATCCAGTTTAACGTGATTCCAGGCGTTCAATCAGTAAAACGGGCCGCGACGAGGGGGCGACAGGAAACGGTGCGGCGGCGGCGGCAGCTACTACATAGTCAATACTTGACTTGATCTTCTTTTAAAAATGTTTCAGGGGACACTTAAATATTAACGTATCTAGTTTTATTATTTCCAGAAAAAATGAAGCATATGAATTAAGAAATGCTGATTTGTCATTTAAAACTCAATATGCGAGAACAAACATGCTAAAATATTCCTATTTCCATAGAACAGTTAAAGCCTGGAATTATTTACCTATGCATGTCAGAAAGTCTGAGTCTCTTTCTGATTTTAAAAGTCTTTGTAAGGCGTATTTATACCAGTTAGACATTGAATTAACTCATTTATTATTAATATTATTATTATTATTATTATTATTATTATTATTATAAATATAGATAGGTATGTGCAGTGTTTCTCTTTTTTGGGTGGCCTTTTGTAAGGGAACCTGTTCCTGTTTCTTGGCCTTCCCCTCAGCTTTGTATATGTGTTAAGTTTATTGAGAAAATACCGATTAAAGTAAAGTAACATTGGGAATGAATACTAGGACATTTCTACAACAAACAAACTTCGTTTTCGCTCACTGAACAGGTACCATGAAAGGGCAATTAAAATTTAACTAAGAGTCGAATTAGCATCAGCTTAAGACTTTGTTATCACTCATACTAAGACTGTGTTTCTTACTTAAGAAAATTGAATTGGTTTTTTGCCATGATTTAGGCAACCACTTCCATATGTCCATTCTTGTTTTGCCTTCAAAACCACATAACCTCGACTTTTTCCAGTTTTACTATCCAGTGGTAGCATGGATTGGAAAAGCATCTTAATAGGAGCCCAATATGGCGGGTATTTGTATCTTGCCGTGTCTAATACCAACACAGAGTTTGATTCTTTCTCCATGGCGGCAATAGGACTAAAGTGGCCTTCTCCAACTTGCCTAAGAGATTCTCTAGAAAAAGAAATTGCCATAAGCTCCTCTGGATGTTCTTCGTCGAAAAGTTCTTCATTAGACTCCTTACCACCAGTGCAAACTTGCTCTAAAGTGTGAATAAACTTATCATAATGTTCTTTCGAGTAATTTGGTCGAACAAGTCTCGATACTGCTCCATTGCAGTTTGCCAAACACACAAATTCATCCAAATTTATTCCAGATTTTTTCACGTCTTTTAGCGAACGACAACAATCTAGAAGTTCCACAGTATACCATCGCCAGTCTGACAGAGGACTCCACTTACGCTGAGGATCTATTCGCAAGGCATTTAGGATGTTTACTAAGGTACTAACTCCGCAATAACCAGATTCATTTTGAGTACCAAAGCACGAAGACAAGGATAGATAAGGAACAGCATAACCAGTTTGCAGAGCACGGCAGAGGCGAGTCTTAGACTCCTTAGATCGGTAGTCAACAAGAAAATGAGGCAACGGAGATCCGTAAACCGTGTCACATGCATTAGCTAACGTTAGGCGCCTTCTTTTGCGATCAAAAGAAAGCCTTTTCAACCTGGATACGTTCAAGCTTAAGAAAGCCCAATGTTTCAATTGATTTGAGGGTCTCATGGAGGTATCTGTCTGCCGTCAAATGGCAAAAATTTTAAACTCCGATAAGCAATATCTTGACCACCAGCAAGTGTTAAAGGCGGTTGGTTTGCCTCCCAAGGTATGCTGCATATAAACAATACACTGTCACATCATCAAAATACTTAAACTACTGGTTCTTTATTGAGGAAAAATTTTTAATTTTTGTGTGGAACACCTCCGGTTGAAAAAGTTAGTATTTTTTTTTTACTTAGGAATCGCGCATTATTGTTTATCCCAAGGCTATGAGCGTACAGTTGAAGATTTTTATTGTCAGTTTTAATAATCTATTTCTCTTTATTTATTTATACCTTTATTTTCTGATGAGTTTGATTTTTTGTATGTGTTCTCAGTTTTGTTTTGGGGTTCGACGAGTCTATTTTTTCTGACACTATATGATTGTTACACCACCAGACTAGATCAAGTCGAGTCAGCCAAGGCTCGGAAAGAACTGGGAATGTGTCTGGGATGTACCTTTTACGTAGTTGGGGAAAGTTACCTGTGTGTTCTTTAAACATTTGCAAAGCGAATAAGAGAAAAATTTCGGGAAACAGGGATCATTTACCAGATACAATGTCTTCTAACACTCTAAAAACGTTTTATGGGCGTTCTCTCCCTCAAAATCTGGTTGACTACCGATCTACGGAGTCGAAAACTCGCCTCTGCCGTGCTCTGCAAACTGGTTATGCTGTACCATACCTATCTTTGTCTTCGTGCTTCAATACTCAAGCCGAACCAGCTTATTGTGGGGTTAGTACTTTAGCGATCATCTTAAATGCCCTGCGAATAGATCCTCAACGTATCTGGAGAACTATTTGGCGATGGTTTACTGAGGAACTCTTAGATTGTTGCCGTCCTTTAGAAGACATAAAAGTATCAGGGATCACTTTGGAAGAATTTGTTTGTTTAGCACAATGCAATGGAGCTGACGCGACCCTTGTTCGACCAAACGACTCGAACGAACAATACGAGAAATTTATCCAGATTGTAGAGCGAGTTTGCACTGGTGGAAAGGAGGTTAATAGGGAAACGTTTGATGAGGAAAATCCAGAAGAGTTTATGGCAATTTCTTACTCGAGGAAAACTTTGGGACAAACTGGCGACGGTCATTTTAGTCCTATTGCTGCAATGGACAAAGAATCAAACTCTGTGTTGATGTTTGACACAGCCCGGTTCAAATATCCGCCCTACTGGGTTCCTATGGAAGTGCTCTTCCAATCAATGCTACCACTGGATAGTGCTACGGGAAAGAGTCGTGGTTATGTGGTATTGAAGGCAAAATATGAATATCAAGGTCGAAAAGTTGCTTGTAATTTTGATGAGTGTATTTCTATGGAAGAGTGCCCTGAAAATGATTTACCAGTACCAAGGCCTGTGTATAAAAGTGGCCAGTGGCATTGTGGCAGTCATCCTTGTAGTGGAGGTCCTTTTAACACAATGAAACCATCTTAGTGTGGTTCACAATAATTGGAAGAGTTACAAACATAATGCTACTTGGAAAAAAAAAAGAAATAACCCCTTTTCATAGGTGAGCTCAACCTTAGTGGTTTGCAATTCTTCTCCTCCTTTGCAAGGAGCATCAAGCCACAATAAAGAAAAAGGATAAGATGGAGTTTTCAACTGCATTCAACTCAACAAAACAATTTTATTCTTTGTGCATATTTTGCGTGGTGTTGGATGTCTTAGGAGAACTAGATGCAAATCCCTATGAATGTACAGAGTCAGAAGTAGAAGAGACTTGCACTCTCACGTTAGAGCTTGGAGACTTTGATTACAAAGGGCTCAGTAAGATCAAAGTAGAGATAACCATTCACACCTTAAGATTAGTATGCATATTCTCCATACTGTTCTCAATACATTTCCTTGAGTGCTGACATGTAGAAATTGTTTGACAGTTTAGAGCATCTTTAGTTGGTGATCATTTTCTTTATTCTCATAACCTCAATGTGTAATTCAGGGCTGATATTGTAAGGAGAAATTGAATGCTAGTCACTCCTAAAGGGTCAAGACACCACTGGTTCACCCTGTGAGGCAAGGTAGAAGGGTTGGATTATATCACAACCTAAATACTCAGGTTTAAATCTGATTTACCTGAACCACTAGATTTGTCTCTTAGAAGACGATTCTGTATAACTATTGAGATGGGTGAAATGATATTCCGTAGTAGTAGTGAAATAATCAACTGCAGACCAGAAATGGTCACAATACATATCATCTATGTCTTTGTAGTATTCTAAAGGCTTTTGTGTACAGAAAAAACTGTTACATCGAAGGTTAGTAATCTACTTTGTACTGATAGGTATAGTATGGATAATGACAGTCAATATTCGATCAAAACTGGCGATATGATAGACAATAAACCAGATTTAATGATCAAGAGAGTTTGTGTTTTTTAGTATTAATTCATCCCAGTCTGGGAAATACTCCTCCCTAATGGTATAACAATGTGCTTCCACGTTCTTCAGTTCTGACCTAATAAGTTTTGCCTGTGGACTGTTTGGAACATTCCAAAGGAATACTGAAACCAATCCAAATACTGCAGCATCTAAAAGGCATGGCTTGCTTCCCATAAGAAACTTTTTTGTTCCCAACACTTGTGATACAGCCCTCAAGTCTCTCTCTGCAATGCTGTAAATTTCCTCTCTAGAGTGCCGCCCAATTCCATGACTCCAGAGGCTCTGGCACAGGTGATGAGATACTATCCACGACATAATGTAATTTAGAGGAGTTGGTGTTAGTCCCAACAGAGGTGACATTGACCTTGTGTCCGCCAGATCAGTCACAAAGCTGTGATATAGCAGAGTCCTGTTGCACAATTAAATAGAAAATTGCATAAGACCACAGAGAACTACTACAATGCAGTACGGGAGTACCAATTTGCAGCAAAAAGGCATTTTGAGACATTTAAAGAAAAGGGAAAAAACCCTGAAATTCATAACTTATTCTTTTAAAAATATATTTTGTTGGTCTCCTTCCCTCGCATGTAACTTGAATGTGTCTCAGTTTGCCTGAAAAATTCCAAAAAATTGTCTGTTCTATAAGCTAATTCTGTGCATATCCCTGTTTGAGAAAAATAATTGATGCACCTCCCTACTTCCCACCTTGATTATGCATTTTGACAAAGTGAAAATGGGCAACCAGCTTCCATTTTCCACCTAACCCCCACCCCTATTGAAAAGCAACAGTTCATCTTAAGAGAAAGTTGGGAAAGAGTTCCATCTAACCCCATACATTAATTATGCAGTCCATTTCATAAATACCAAATATAAAGGTTTCTTTGCAACACTCTATGCATAATTAATGTATGGGGCTATATGGAACTCTTGCCGAAAGCCGAGCATGGAAGCTCGATGACCGATCATTCACTTCCCCTCCCCCCTCACCTCGTTCCTGCAGTGCCACACCCCATGGCTGCAAGAGCTGCATAGTTGAAGGATGCAAGAATTTGTTACAAACAGTTTGAAATAAACACAAATAAATTAATTATTAGAGGTCATACCAATAAGTATTCTCCTCAAGGGTTACGAGCATGGTATGTGCGATGGCTTTTTCTTCGACACTCAGATGGGCATCGGGGTCGAATTGAAATTCTTCGTTGAGAAAACGAACAATTAAGTTTGAATCGGCCACGGTCGCTCCATTGTATTCAATCCACGGCACTTTGCCTTTGCTCGACATTCTAAAACTGTAGTCGCTTTCGTAGGGGATTTTGTTAATTCGCAAATAGGTCTCTAGCTTGAGACAAGGTGGAGAAACATTTAAAACTCGGGAATTTGGAGGCATTTGATGAAGGACAACCTTTCCATGCCGTGGGCTTTGATTCTTCTTCGGCTTCAATCTCATGAACACTAAAATGACTTGCACCACTAGCAGAAGAACTAGGCAGCCAGAGGCGAAAACAACAGCAATTATCAGGTTTCGTGGTTCGAGCGCCATGGGAAACAGTTGCTTGTGTTGCGTGACGGAGCCAAACTACGATAGACGATGGTGTAGAGTAACAAACTGAAACCGAGGCCATGACGTCACGGGACTCCATATTTTTCATTTTTCGTGGTGAGAAATCCGGACAGACAGAACAGAACTTTTCATGAATATTAGGACATTGAGGCGCTGTGAGGATCATCAAAATGCCGAAAATGAAAATTCAAGACAGTATAAAATAACTCCGAAAAATGTCAGGTTAAATTATAACAGTCTTCCCTAGGAATTTCGACAGTTAACTACTAACTGAGCCTCTTGTAGCTTACCTACACTGTCAGCTTACAAAAGTTTGCTGTTTTTTGGGCCACAACCCTAAGTTTTCCTTAGTTGCACATTCCTTGATCACGAATGGCTGACCCTGCCTCAAGGAAATCAGCAACACTCAACCGGTTACGGTCGCAATTGCGACGAAAACGGGAATCTTTCGCGGAGCAATTTGACTTCAAAATGTACTTTGCAGTGGTTTTTAAAGATAAGGTAAGTAATTACCAAGTGACTGTGTAGTATTTGAATAAGGGAATGTTTTAACAGCTCACGCAATTTTAATGTAGCGAAAAAAGATTTCTATTAAATTCTTTTTATTATTAAGTCATTACATGTAGTTCTGTTGTGTGTCATTACATATCTGTCATTTTGCTTGCAAGTTCGAATGTTGTTGGTTATGCCAGTGCAGGAGAACTAGTCTGTAACAATGTTAAATAAAATTTGAAACACGGAAAAACAATGGAGCAAAGAACAATAATTAAAATGACGACATTACATGATTATACGACAAGCTATAGTATGCAGATGTGTGTTGATTGAAAATCTGATAAACAGATGTCATATTCATTTGTCAGATGACAAGTGATTCTCCTTTAAAATTAACGTTAAAATTTGTAAGCCTAAAAAAAAGAATGAGGCACTAAAGATCCAGGAGTCAAGAACTCTCACCCTTCATCACTCCAAAGCTAGACCTGGCCACTCAAAGATTTTTTTTTCACTCAAAGATACGTGTCAAAATTGTCCTTTAATAACTGGAATTCCCTAATCAGTGTATATAACTATATTTCTTGGCAACAGTTGATCATATTATATTTTGCTAATTAAAGTATGATGTAGTTGAACACTTTAATTCACAATTAGACTGATTGAGCAATAATTAATACCTGCAGGTGAAGTGAAACACCCCTTTGTTTTTTCACTCATTCCCCAAAACCTTAAACTTCCCAAAACATAAAGATTTTCTAGACAATTAAATTTTTGAGGAGTCAGCTTTAAATTGTCATTTTGTTTTATTATTGATCAGTTGATCTAAACTTCTTGGTGTTTTGACCAATTTACAAGTTGTAGTAACATTGGGTTCTTTACTGTCCTGTAGTTGTGAGAATTGCTGATGATGTAAATACCCACCTACTGAAAGAAATGTACATTTAAATGCATCAGTCCTCTAAACAAATCAATGTCATTTGTTGCAGAAGAAGAAGTCTGCCTTGTTTGAAGTGGCAGAGGTGATCCCAGTCATGACTAATAACTATGAAGACAGCATCTTGAAAGGTGTCCAGGTATAAATGGTTTCTAGGAATAGTAGTTAATTTAAGTTCTCACACATCACTTGTACAGATATGGTCTGATAAAACAGTCATGAAAATGGTCCTTTGTTCTCTGGAAGCTGCATCATATTGCACTTAACCCTTCACTCAAAAGACCTAATGAGTAATTCTCCTAACTGTTCACTGCACAATTCTTATAATGTTAGTTTGCAGAACTTGGTATATGATCAATTAATAATCCCTTGAGTGTCTCATTTATTTATGTGGTATTGTTAATGTAAGGAGAAATTCTGTCTTAATCACTAAGCAAAGTCAGAGGGTCAACTACAGTGGAACCTCGACTTAACAAACCTCTATATAACAAAGTCCTCAGTATAACAAATGTTACTTCAGTTTCAGCCTTGGTTAAGGTGGCTGAACATAGTTTTTGATACCTTTGTTTCTTTCACCATTTTCTCTCAAACCCTGGATCTCTTGGTTGCCAAAACTGGCAGCAAGCAAGTTAACACAAACTTTGTTTTTTTTGATAGTTAAGCTGACGTATGTGTCATTGCCATGGCGAGCTTGTAAAGATACTCACAAGTTAAGGTTGCTGAACACAGTTTTTGATACCTGTGTTTCTTTCACCATTTTCTCTAAAACCCCCAATCCCTTGGTTGCCAAAACTGACAGCAGGCAAGTCAACAACACAAATTTTGTTTTTTTTTTATAGTTAAGCTGACGTATGTCATTACCATGGCGACATGAATAAATATTAACAGGCCTTTAAAATCGGTTTTCTTTATTTGTAGAAATCTAGTCATTAGATTTTCTTTATAATTTGCATGCAACAAGCTCATAACAATACTTATAAGTTGACACCATTTTGCTAACAATTTAACAGAGATCTTTAATTATCCCTTGTTGAAGGTTCACTCGATTATCTAGAATTTCCTTTGTTAAAAATCAATTTTTCTCAATACTCCAGTTACTTATTTCCTGAAGTATTTTCATGCCAAATTTCATGAAATTCTAATGAGTGGTTCTCAAGAAATGGGCATATTAACAAGAAAGCAATTTTCCATTCAATCACAATTTTTTTGGCTTACCACGCATGTGCTGCATTTAACTAGGTTCTTTCGGTAACAACTAAAAAGCTGAGAATTGCTGGGTTCTCTGCACCGTTAACTTTTCTAACATACCTTTGTAATAAAAGATTAAAGCCTTCAATATACTGCACCAACTATAGAGAAAAATATAGCACAGATAGTGCGGGTACGTGTGGAGTAAATAAAATGACCACTCTATTGATGGCATGTTTGTGTTTTGCAATCCCTGTGAGCACACTGAATTGCATCAGCAAAAGTGTGTGCAAAAACTGTGTTCAGCTACCATAAGTCACAGTAAAATGTATGCCACAGAACCTCGCTATCACGAAACAGTTTCCCCATTCCCTTGGCACTTCGTTAAATTGAGGTTCCACTGTAATAATTATTACACAGTAGCCTCTATCTTATTTTAAAGTGGAAAGCCAGTAACCACCATAGGAGACAGAAAATGCCAGTGTAGAGCCTCCTATTTTAATGCTTAGTTAATTATAAGAGTATTACAAGCAGATCATATATTTTCTTTTGAAGGAAGAGGTGTATTCCCTTGAGAGCTCACAACAGCTGTTGGAGAAAGACATTGTTCAACTTCATGCTCCAAGATATCAGTGTTTAAGAAAAGTATGAATAAAACCCTAAGTTTGACTGTCTGTTGGCTAGGTCTTTTTATCTTAATTAATTTTAATTAGTGCATTTTATCCCACCTCCTTGATTCATTAGTTGTCAGTAAAAATGATGTAATGCACAGATTGGACTTTGAATATTATTATTATGGAATAAAACAAGAAGCGTTTAACCCTTTGTTCTGTGTTTGTCAAAAGTGGGTAACATTTCTCTTTTGATCATTACTCAGGATGTCATTGGATGTGTGCAGGAAATTGATTTCTTTTTGTGGCCTCGCAATGACATTGACAGGATAGTGTGCCTGCTATTTTCACGATGGAAAGGGGAAGAACATTCTGATTACAGACTCATTCAGGTGAAATTCTGTAATATAAACCATAGTTTAAGGGCTGGGGGTAAGTACAACTGTTGGTGAAGACTCCCAAATTTGTAAATAGTACTCTGTTTCTGATGTAGAGTTCTTTGTTGTCCACAACAGTTTTACACTTCTCATGCACAACTTAAGTGATGCCAGGTTTGTTTGGTTGTTATCTTTAGGGCAAGTTTGAATTTGAAAGCCATGACTACGAGAAACAGTTGCTACGACTTTTAACCAGAAAGGAGGGCACTGGTTTGATGCTGAGCAATCCATCACAATCACTGTTTCTCTTTGTTGACAAACATCATTTGCAGGTATACACTGTGGGTTATTGAGCTACATGATAGTATTGTAGCTTTGTCAGTATTGGTACTGTACATGTAGTCTTGCAGAAAAAGTGTTTTGACATTTTGAATAAAAATATGGAAAATGCAATCATTAAGCACAGAGCTTGAAGAAATTTGTGGACTTTGATGCAGATATGTCATTTCTAAGGACAAATATATTTAAGCATATTTTAGACAAAAGAAGAAATTATGTTAGCTATCCCTCAAACATTTTGGCAGCCAGCAACATGAGAGGTTTACAAACAGCTTTCTCTCAAATAGAGCAGTTACTGTGGAAGACTAGTTAGTTTTCTCTGTGACAGGTGTTATCAACAGACAGGTTTATTATCTCTTGATTGTAACTGGTCATTACAGAAAAATGTCAAAAACAAAAAAGACTTTTATCAAATCTCATGTTGCATTTAATTTAGGAAACATCAATCTGGAATATTATGACTAAGTTCATCAGATTTTAGTTAAGTATGTTTGGTTATATGAGGACCAAAACCAATTGTGTGTGGGTGAAAGCTATTGACCCATTTCAAGGTGTTTTATTCCTGTATTTTTTTAAAAAAAAAGTTTTTGAGTACCGAGGATGTGTTCCCTCTCTCTTCTTTTAACAGACTGAAAAGAGTAAAGTTGCAGTCTTCAAGATGTCAAGTTTTTGTCTTCATGTACCACAAGTAAATATCTATGAAATTTTGACTTTTGGCTCCTCTTTCTAAGAGTATGAAGAGTTTCTCAGCATTATTTTTTATTTGAACGTACACTCTAAACTATTGAATTGAAAACGATAGATATTTCATGTATACTTAGATCCATCAGCAGTAACTCCAATTTTTTTTTTCTCAAAAAACTCTGATTGTATTAGGCTGTTCAAGAGTCAAGATGTATGTGTGCCATTGTGACAGGAAAATGAAATATTACATTTTCATAACTGATTAAGTGTGGGTTCAAAATCCCAGGATATTGGCCTAGAAAAAGGCCAAAGCAACAGAGGGAGTAGCTTTAAGTGGGCAAGGTGGGCTCCATAGGTTCCTTGGTCAGTTGATATCAACCTGGATATAATTGTTTTCATTTCTCCTGGTCACAGAGTTAGCCCTAAAGCAACATTTGTCTGAGGCATAAGCCCCAACCCTCCATTTATGGGTTTTAGGGGAGCAAATGTTCTGTTCATTCGTTAATTTTTTTTTTCTTTTGTGCTTGTCTTCTAGGATCAACTGACCCACTGGGGAAGTGAACTTAGAGATGATGTCCTGGCACCTTTTATGCCTGATTGAGATTTGTCCTTTTAGCTTTTGTTTTCCCAATATTGAGATGCTACATTTTTACCGACCTTGTGATAACAAATTGTAAGTGGCTTTCACCCCCCTAAACCCTTTGTTCTATGTACAGCTGTATTCCCTGCAGTATCTTTTACTCAGCTTTTGTATGTTAACCAAGCCGACCTGTATTTTCCCTTTAATTAAGCACTTGTGTATTTGCTTTCAGAGTAGTTTATGTTGAAGTGAATAATAAACTTCTCCTTTATAAACAGATTCAAAAATTTTATTTGTTTGTGTGATTTAATGATGATGCATGGATCAGGGTGATTCCCTAGTATTGCACTGCTTATGCTCTTCAACACAAAATGTGCATGCATGGCTGAAATTAGCGGGCAAGCTTGTTACCACACACACATTAGATTAATTTGTATCCAAGAGAGTAATTTCCTCCAAACTAGCTTGTTATCTGTTAAAGATAATTTTACGATATTTTGAAATATTTTTGCACGACATAAAAGCTTACCAACCTGATTCCTTAGGAAAAACTTAAATATTAAAAAATTTCTTCGTTCGTTTTTAAACACGTAGAGCCATAAATATTTGCTCTTTCCGAAATTGTAAATTCTCCAAAGTTAAGCAGTAATATCTTTGTTGGTTTCGGTTTCACTTTGATGACACAAATTAAACAAATCTACCATAAATTTATTAGAAGCCGTCACGCCCCACAGAGCGACAGCACGATTGTACTCCTAGCCTGCAGACGGACTTTCCTTCGTTAAGTCTTCGTTGAGGACTTAACGAAGGAACCGCAAAGGAAAGTCCGACTGCACGCAGGCTATTGTACTCCTCGATTAATATAATCATTTATTGGTTGGATTCTGTCCATTAGTATAAACAAACATTAACATAAACAAACATTAGCATTCGTGGTCAACGCTTAATTAGCACTTTGTTTTGAATTTCCTTGAGTAAACAAAAGGCATAGAGTCAGTATACACTTGTCAATTTCCCCCAAAGGATGCGTTCCTTTTAACGGTTTTTAGCTTTCCTTGAAAATCTGATATTTACTAGTACCAAAAGGAAAACAAGAGGAAAATTTTGAGGTAGCTATGAACTACAAAGATCCCACTGGATCGGTTTTGACTTTGAGAAATCGCCGCCTTTCCGAACCGCAAAAGCTACCGAAGCGTGTGTCTTTCAAAGATGAGGCATGGGTTATTCACATTCCCGCTCGCGACGAAAACACCGTGGGTTTGCGAGAGAGTGTGCTATTTACAAGAAACGGCGTAGCAGGGAACTCTTTGTCAGCGAACAAAACATCAGCCCTCAAGCCAAACACAGGTGCAAACTTTGAAACTTTCTCTCACAAATCTTCGTTTGCAAGCTCGGAACAGGCAGACACGCAAACATGGATGACTTCAACGACTACTTTGGGACCTAGAAAGAGTGTTGCCCCTTACAAGTCAATTCTAAAAGCATCAGCATCGCAGAATCGTTTTCACGAAGATCATTTGAAAACGCACAACTTGCACACAGCCTACGTCGGAGAAGCCTCAAGGCATTTTCTGAACAATTACTTTAAACATGATACCAGTCATCTACTGCCATCGACAAATGTCGTGAAAAGAGTCGAGAGACCAGTTATAACCAGAACACCGTCATCGAGGCGCTCACTCCCAAATAACCGCGCTCTTGGAACTGAGGACGCCTCGCTGTTCAACCAAACTGGACGACCGGCTGGTAAAGAATTCACAGCGGGATCTCACAGAACTCTTCTCGATCACACCTTTAAAACCACGGCCAATGAAGGAACGAGTAAGGCTGGCACTGCCGCGCAGCCAGGGATAAATTTCGGCGTAGTTGGAGTTACGTATGGGGGTGTGAACGAGATGCCTTACTTTTACGGCATCAGAGGAATCGCTAATAACGGGATAGCCGAGTATTCTAGTGAAAAAAGAGCTTCCTTCCACGACCGAACTCGCTCAGAACATTCCTCGGTATCTACGCCGCACAAAAACAGCCTTTCGCCTAAAACACAGGAAAGATATCTATCAGCAATTCCAGCTATTGAAACTTTCAACAGACGGAGCCGTGGAACAGGGAGTTATTCTTCGAGCGACTGGTCCCGCAAACAAGATACAAGCCCAAAGAAGCAATTACAATTACCAATTGCTTGGCAACTTTCCAAACAGAATAATTTCTCAACAAAGTAGAGAGGATGGTTTCGATAAGAATTTGCATCACCTCACGTCCACTCTCTCTCATGAACAGGGATGAAAATCTCTAGAGCTATTTCCGCTAAATCATCCCCCGCGAAAACTCCGATTTTGTAATGAAGAAGCAGAAAATAAAGCTGTGGTCTTCAAATAACGTGCTTGTGTGTGCTTTACCGAGCTCTCCCAATTTCCCACAAGTTCTAAACACACTGCCTAAACCATTTCAAGTCGATATAAACAGCGTTTTAAACTGGGTGAAGCAAAGATTCATGTAACACTTTAATTTCTAACCGTCAGCTAATAAGGGCATTACTGAACTTGTTATTGATCAAGTTTGAATCCCCTGCCCCCCTCACTCAATAATATATGTTTTCCAAAATATGTCAATCCAACACAAATTGAGTGAAAATCAATCGCTTTATCGACTTTGAGAACTGAATATTTTCCTCAAAGACCAATCTTTGACCGTCCCCACTAATAGGGTATTTAGAGGATAATTATTCGAATCGCTGAAGCAAAATTGTCTAATGCTTTCAGTTGAACTGTCTATCCACACTCGCCAACAAACACTGACGAAACAACAACGAAAAGTGAGCTATTCTGCCCAATGGTTAGAGTAAATTTCCTTCATTTTCTTCATTTTTATGATATTTGGGATTGACTGCACAGTCCGAAAGTTATAAGTCTGAAACTAAGCAGCTAAATGACTTTATAAAATCTCTTCCCTCGCTAACTACATTCTACACCAGAAATAGTCGGTTAGAAGTTATTCAAATATTAGACGAAAGTTGAGTTTCGTCAGAGACAAAGTCTACAGTAATTAGTCAGTTACAAATATCAGTGTGTTTTGCCTAAAAAGGGAAATTGTTTTTTTTTTTTTAATTTCCAGCTCAGAAGGTTCCTTATTTTCGAAATTTGCGCACAGTGCTAACTTTCACCGCCACGATTCGAAGGTGACTTCTCTTAGTTGGTACTTTATGGAACAATATATGAAGGGATTATCGATCTCGTTTGTGATTTTAAGTCTCTTTCATGCTTTCCATCCTTTGCTTATAATCTGGAAACTGTTTTCAGTCATGCTCTCCATTCTAAGCCATTTTCGTGTGGTTCATCCTTTCTCCTCCAGCGTTTGTCTACACAACCAAACTATCTCTCTATATAATGTAAGACTTTTTGTCTGTAAATCTTTAACTGTTTAAATTTAAGATTGTTTATGCTGTTACGTTACGAGATCGAGTCGCGTTTTCCGACATGCAAAACTCCCTTATATTGGAGAAGACTACAAAATATTGGTGAATGTGAAAAATGATACAAGAAAAATGATACAAAAGAAATGATAAACTACGAAGGAGCGAGGATGACATTGGATGGAGAAGATTAAACTGATTGCTGTTAACAAACTTTAACAAATTGGGCTAAATTTTAACAAGCTGCATGAGCCACAGGATCAGTTTTACTGAGTCTTCACCGGAATAAGGATTGGATAAGATCAGAATGAAAGAGGACCTCCATATACCAGCATCAAGCCATCAGCTCTTTACTAATACCAAGGCAAGCAGAGCCATTCTGATATACATGCCGTACTCAGCCTGACGGAAATAAGCCGCTCTAGGATCGGAATCAACCTCCACGCTGCAAAAATATACAAACACAGACTTTGTTGATTCCCCAGCCGAAACAACTTGAACAAAATACGAAAGCCACACATTATTTTAAAGGTCTTTCCACAAGGCGCACTACGTGCCCCAGACAGTAACTTACCTGATTTCATTTACACGAGGTAAAGGATGCATAACTACCATCTTCTCCTTGGCTTCTGTTAGAATCTGTGGTGTGATAACATAGCTTCCAAATACCTAGCGTCAATCAACCAAACCATTGAACCATCAATCAGTCAATCAATCAAATGATTGTCATCTACAGTTAATAACTAAACCAATCAGTAAGCCTGACGATGACGATCAACCAACAAACCAATCAATCAATCGATCTATCAATCGGTTAGATAAACGGTACTTCAGACAGACAGAGAGATAGACAATCCACAACAAAATAAGTTAAGACAGTCAGTCTGCCAGTTGTTGCTTACAGAGCTAAGATAGGAAGCCGATCAAACGATCACTTAACCTTACTTTAAGAACATATTTTTTTTTAAGTTGTGAACATCTCGAGCAAAAATGAAAACTGAAAAAACAATATACAAAACATACCTTTTCGTACTCTTCTTGGCTTTCAAATCTTTCCCTTTGAATTCTTGTCACGTACAGAACATCTGTGTCAGGAAGCGCATCCGTAAGGCTTGAAAATTCTTCCTAAAAAGAAGAGAATCAGCCAATCAGATCCTGTTAGATAACAATTCAGTTCTTGTTATCTCTGTCGGTTTTCGATAGAGGCTCCCATTTCACAGCCCTAACGCGTTTCCGTTAGTAAAATCGCATCTCTTGGTGCATCTTCTTAAAAAGATCAATACTTCCACTCAAACTCAGAGTCACACTGCAGTCTTGCGAAGTGATATTGAAAAACATGACTCCTACATGTTTTCCGTGATCTGCACAACATTTTCTGCTCATAACGATCACCAAAACAAACTTCAGATCTGGTCTTTCTCAATTTTGTTTGCCACTTATGGTAACTTTCCCCCAACATCAATACAACACTCTTCAGGGTGTTTTTACCCACAATCGGCACTGGACGCAGCACACTGTCTTTGCGGCAACTACAGCTGTCACTCACCTGATGTATTCCTTTCTTTCGGACATACTCCTTGATGGATTCAGGCATTGACAGAGCCGCAGGTGAAACATAACGGAGCGTGACGTCATAAAGGCAAAGCAATTTGGCCAATGAGTGAACAGTACGCCCGTTCTTCAAGTCTCCGACCATAGTCACCTTTGAACATGAAAACAAACCAAAACTTCATCAAATAGGATTAGTCTTGTGTTTCTCCGAAATTAAAAAATCGATAGGGAAAGGTACAGGGCAGACATCTGAATATTGCAACACGACCGGCAAGAACAAACATTAGCTATTGGGACCTTCTCGAGAAAGCGTGGACTTTTGACTAAAAATCACACCAACACCAACAGTGTAACCTTCCCTTACCACCTCTTTGCTTCGGACATCAGTTGTCAGCAATCAGTGAGCGGTTGGCTTGGAGGTTAGCCACCTGTACCCGCCATTAAGATAAACCTATGCAGGTAGGTCATAGCATGTCCGGGGAAGATATTCGAAAAATTATCAGGACATTGTGGATTTGTTCCACATGATCATCTAGGTCACCTCAAAATTCTCATTTACTGAAATAGTAGACCAGATCGTTTTCCTCACCGTCAGACGGTTTACAGTACCAATCTCTTCACGGATGGTAAACACATCCAAAAGGGCCTGGGTAGGGTGTTCTCCAACTCCATCGCCCGCATTTATGACTGGCTTACGACAGTGTTCGGCAGCTTTCTGTAAATTGTTTGAACACATTTCAATCCTCATACAACATGAATCAAAATTAACCAACTCTGATGGAGAGAAGCATAAAATCCAACAAAAAAGGAAAACACAGACACTTAGGTAATAACCAACTAGAACTTGCTAAAGGCCGGGATAGCTGGCGGACCCACTGAGTGGCTGACTGATCAACAAACAGATAGACTAACAGTTATCAGAACAGACAGACAGAAAAAGGGACAGACAGACAGACAGACAGAAAAAGGGACAGACAGATAGAAAAAGGGACAGACAGATAGAAAAAGGGAGACAGACAGAAAAAGGGACAGACAGACAGACAGAAAAAGGGACAGACAGATAGAAAAAGGGACAGACAGACAGATAGATAGAAAAAGGGACAGACAGACAGAAAAAGGGACAGACAGACAAACAGAAAAAGGGACAGACAGACAAACAGAAAAAGAGACAGACAGACAAACGGAAAAAGGGACAGACAGACAGACAGAGATAGGGACAGACAGACAGAAAAAGGGACAGACAGACAGGAAAAGGGACAGACAGACAGACAGAAAAAGGGACAGACAGACATACAGAAAAAGGGACAGACAGACAGATTGAAAAAGGACAGACAGACAGAAAAAGGGACAGACAGACAGACAGACGGAAATAGAAAAAGACAGACAAAGAGACAGACAGAAATAGACAGACAGACTGACTAACAGTTATATTAAGAGAAAAGCACTAAAGGATTACAACACACCTGTACTGCTCCAGGCTGAGGGTGTCGTATCACCACTACATCACAGTAAGATGACATCACTTGAACAGAGTCTATTTTTTCAAAATATTAACATTTGTCAGAACCGACTGCCTTGTCTGTTATCAGTTTATAGATAAAAGCGAGGCCCAACCAGGCCGAAACAGCTGTACAAGGCTACTAATTCAATGGCTTACTTATTTTTGTGGTTTAAGAGGTGTGACTATCACTGTCGCTTACGCGCCACTTTCTACCCAACAGCACACAAGCAACAACATTTACTCTCTCGAAACGTCATCATTCACGGAAATTTTCTAACCAATATTCTGTGTCCTCAAACACTACCTTCTAAACTTTCTCCCTTCTTGGCCGATGAATCTTGTTCCTTCATGAAAATTACAGATCCACCCAGTCTCTGCATGGCTGCAGCAAACGACGATGACGTCCGTGTACTTACTTCGTAAAACAACGATGCCATTACCCTTCCCTGGATAAAAACAAAAGGGAAACCAATGAGGTGTTGGGAGCCAATTCAACCAATGAGTGAATTACTGTCGATACGCAAAGCCGACAGACTAGACTCTCACCCGTTGGCAAGTTGATAACTTTATCCATGTGTGATGACCGACAACCAATCCGAGCGAAAGTTCGAGGAAGAGGCAACTGGCTAAAATCCAAGCTCATCCAAGGATCTGTGGTATTAAGTGGCTGAGAATAGTGCTACCCTCTGCCCCCTGGATGAGATTCTAGTACATTGCCCCCCTTCAACTGGGGGGGGGGGCATTTCATCAGGTTTCCCTGACGATTCACTAGTGCCTATCAAAACTAATGGGTGGAGAGGGAAACTAAAAATACGAATATTGGCCAAGAACTCCAAACAATGACCTGACCAAGGCTTGAGCCTGAACGATTTGGAATTCAGAACTAAATTACGCCGCCGTTCTATCTTTCCCAAAGGTACTACCTTCAGTAAATCCAACACTCCTTCTCTCTGAACAACCAGCCGCATCTGATGAGCCACGTTGAACAGGTAATGGAGCTGTGTAAAGAAAATACGCCATGAGGACATTCTTACTCCTAGCCTAACATTAACAACTACATCCTTCATCTGTCCAAAAAACGACTTGAGGTGGAAACCTCCTTGTAGGTATTGTTTTCAATTATGAGAAATAAACATGATTATACAAAATAAAAATCAATGCTAACGTTATAAAAAATCATACCCATCGAAAAACCATTTTAGCCTTTACTATCCGTCTTTACGATTCCATCAAGATTACATTGAAATCTGGTTGTTCAATAACATTTTCCTTCAATGGCTTTAAGCTGTATGATAGTTTGACAACGCGCTCCATAGTAGAGCATTTCGATGGCTAATCTACTTTTGTTTATTTTGCAGAGTACGAGCTAAATCTTGGAGTTTCGACCTTTTTAGTTCCCAGGTGGTATTTTGGCACTCTCGTTTGTGTCAGTCCATACTTGAGGAGTCAGGCTCACAAAAAGTAATATCTGGGAGTTTTCCCGAGGAAGTTAGGAGAATGCAAATTTATGAAAACAAGTAGAGCAAATTTGTATGTTGGTGCTACACTTTGCTGTTCAAGAGGAAAAGGTGGCCTCTTATTTACCTGTTCTCTGGTGAATTTGCTGGCACTCAAAATGTGATGACCCAAGAACACATGGAGTGGTATACGGGGAAGGGTCACTGGTGCATGAGAATGTATGCCTGGCGACACTGGGTGTGGAGGGGTGTGGTGAGAATGCGGTGTGGACTCTGGGGTCCCATCTGAAAACAAAAAGAGCAAAACTTGTGAAAAAGGGGATGGGAGTAGGAAATGGGCCCTCAAGTAACGGGAATAAAACTCACATTTACTTGAGTGACACACTTCAAAGGCTGATTCATTTCCTTCCGACAGTTTTTCTAGGAAAATTCAGCGCTTTATTTCTGTTTGTGTTGGTCATTGCTCTGCCAGCAAAATATTGCAAAAATATTTCGAAGCGTTACCTTTCAGGTGCCATTTTTTCAAGTTAAAATAATAAAAAGTTCGGTGAAGCATTTTTACCAGGTGGACACGACCTCATGTCAACGGTAATTTTCTATAGTAATTCTGGGTAAGAAGAGGTGCTCTTCTCCAAAGTATGGCCCCTACGTGGGAAAGCAGCAGTTTTGGCGCGAAACGTTTTCTGTGCTATATGTGCTTAAGTTTAAAAAAGGTTTAATTTTGAGCCCAAATACCTCCAACAGGCAGGCTGAGAGGTTCTGGTCCGCTGTAATGCGTATCAACAAACCGATGTACAGACGGTGGAAAGCCCCAACGAGTATCTGACACCTTCCTCGGACTGGGGGGCGGTATCTGAACCTGCGGTGGCAATTGGAAGACGGGTGGCGCAAGTGGCAATGCACTGATCATGCGCACATCTTGTCCAGCTCCGGGTGCCGCCAGAACCTCCAATGTTTACAATAATTGTATCAATCTGATGATCACCAACAATTGCTTGTTACTGGCGATCCAGAGTCCGCGTTAGTCACTTAATATAGTTAGCCAGGGAATAATGCTAATCGGCTGTAAAATAACCTGTAGAAAAAGGAAAAACGGAAAAGAAAAACCCGAAAGAAACCAGAAAGAAACGTCATACGCACCTTTCCGTCAATAACCACAGTTTCACCCCTTAGCACAACTCTTCTGACGCAACCATTGACTTTCATTCCAGCGAATGGTGTCCACTGCGCTTTAGAGTAAGTCATGGCGGACGGAATAGTCCATTCTTCTCCAATTTCGACCTCAACGTATGTATCTTTCTGCTCGGGAAGGCTGAAGATTTTTCGTGGATTCGTGCACAATCGAAGGGTTATGTCCTAACACACATTTTAACATCTACACGTCAGTTACACATTCCCAAGGATCACTGATACTCTTAAGTCCAACAGATAAAGCAGTGCTGATAAACCGCACCAAGGCTAATTAGATATTGAAAACACATTTGCGAGGCTGCTGTTGACTTGGTAAGACTTATGTCAAGAAAAAAAGATTACTTGCAGTCCTTAAAAATCAGAGCAAACCAAATAATTCTAAAATATTCAATTCAGTGCTTCCCTACTGTGGGGCAAATGGATGTCCTTTTAATAACAATTTACTCCTTTACCATATATCGGAGCAAACTCACAGACATACAAAAACCCCAGCTACATTTGACAAGACTCGAGATCCAGGGGAAACTTGTGAAACTGAAACTATCCTTATCAGTGTTCCAACCCTGCTTCCTACTGACCCTGTTTGCCGAAGGCTGTAAAATGTACTGCATGCTAGTTAAGGAATGACAATTGACTCTTACATCGATCGTTAATCGTCCTTGATGCACCGCAGTTAACAGCAGCGGAAGCATAGTTTCCAACCCTGGGAAGCCAGGAGGGGGTTTTTCAGAATCTTTCTCTTCCAGTGTATGTGGTGCTACAAAAAGAAAGAAAAAAAGGCGTTATCACAAGACGCGCAGCAATAACTAAAGAAAATTTTGCAAAAATACATCCCGAGTTAAATGTTAGCAGTTATAATATTCACCAATAAACCTTACCATGATCTGTGGCAAAGCAGTCGATAATGTCAAGATTATCCCAGAGCGCCTTCTGATCTTCAGCCGTAACAAGAGCAGGCTTGACCCCAACTCTCTTAATGCCAATCCTGTCCGCGTCATCTTCTGTCAGGAACAAGTGATGAGGTGATACTTCACACGTGACTTGGATTCCTTTCTCTTTAGCAGCTCGAATCACAAGCACCTGCAAACGAAACAAGGGTGCGTAGGTCAATCAGCAGGTTACAGAGAGTAAGTAAGAAACAGTGATGATGAATGATGTGTTCTGCTGTTCCATGACTATCTTTTAGGAGCACTTCCTACAGGATAAACCACGACATTGCAAGATAGCCCGTTCGACATAACATGTGCGGAAATCTCGAGTCAGCCATATAAGGCTCAATTTCTTTGCTCTAAAAGCCCATTTTTCCCCTTTTTTTTTTTTTTTAAATTTTCTAAGACTATTAAAGAACACGACATTGCAATTCAACTTCTGCTTTGCCACAAGAGGAAGATCGCCGAAGGGAAATGGTAGGATAAGGCCACGTTCATCTAACTGGATGGGAAGGAGAATATATAACTGCCATACATGTTTCTTTGCGGTGACAAACGGCCTAGAAGGTGTCTCGTTGGTTAAGGTCATATTGACACTGCCAAGGGAGGGGGCATCTCACCAGGGGCACCTTACTAGGGTATAGGGGAAGTGGTTTGCAAGATATCTATTTGCCTTGTTCCTTTTTCAGACTACGAAATCTATGTAAAAAAAATGAGGAAAGGTATTGATTGTTTGGCTTTCCCACTCCCTTTTGTTGAAATGTAGTGTTGTTTCCGTTACAGTCAACATAATCCACTTATCAAGTACCCCAGGGTTTTGCTCTCACCTCTTCTTTCCTTGCCACATGAGCTATATGGACAGGTCTATCAGCAAGCTCTGCTAGCAATAGGATGGCAGCAGTTGTACGTCCCTCGGCGTGGCATACCAGTGGTATGTGTTTTGGCCAATGCTCTAGATGCTGGAAAATCGGATCAAATCTTAAATTTGAAATATAAAACAATGAACCAAGCACTTCAAAAACATTCGACATATTTATAAACTAACCGAAGTGCAATACATCTTGCACACCCTGGCAGTAATTGGGAACACTGGTACAAAGATAAAAATTCCTGATCGCTACTGCAAAGATTCCCAGACAGTGATTCGACACAGTAATTTCTATCGAAATAAATGAGGCCCCACCTTCATCCATGTTGACATGTTGTCAAGTCTCAGTGTAGTAAACGTTTCATTGAGGTACATTTTTAGACCAGCAGACAGGTGAGCTAAATCCTTCACTGTTGCGTAGTTATCAGCACTGGCACCCAGGTAAATACCGTAATCACATCGAGCACCAGCTGAGGCCAACTGAAAATTATCGATTGATAATTCAGTTATACATTTAGCGTCGTGTCCAAAAGAATTTCATAATTATTGTTTCTTCATAAAATAAACATTTCATATCGCGTTGAAATAAGTATTATCATGTCGATAAAAAAAAAAAGAACGGAAAAAGTTAAAAACTATTTCAAACACAAATAAGGTTAAATCACGTGAAAAACTATAACCTCTTAGAATACTACTAGAAACCCCTCTCGTTCAGTCAAGAAATTTCGTCCGAAGTTTGTCGTGAAGGCAAGGCTGCAAATAACTGACGGGCAGTCGCCGGTCACACATGCTTCTGCTCGGACACTACCCGTTTTTTGGCCGGTCAAATTTTAACAGTCGGAACTCTTACGATAGTGAACCCAAATTGCACAGCAATCCTTTTACAACTAAAAAACAACTGAATCTACGTTGGTCTGGCAATAAAAATTACAAGTTAATAATTTTACTACTCTTTACTGCAAGAGCAGCCTCGCATTGAGTACGTGGAACGGTTACGCAAGATACAACCGCAATTGTCCGTTTTACTTTACATCTGACAAAATCACTTATAATTAGATATTACACTTTGGCGACAGGACTTGATGACATCGTGGAAATTTGCGACTGTCGGGAATTTCTCGACCACTAATTTGTCTACTTTTATATTGGTTTCGGAAACATTACTGTAGTCCATTGTGATTATCAAACAGTTTAAAATTAAAATTTCTTTGAACGAATCAGTAAAGGACCGGACAAGATGTCCGGCAATCCAAGGATTTGTCCGGTCAGTACCCAATTTTGACCGGACATTGTCCGTTGACCAGCCGTTATTTGCAGCCCTGGAAGGAATGGATTCATTACGTAGAAGCTGATGAAATACGGCTGTTACTTGAGTTTAGAAGCATGATATCTTAAACGCACGAAATAACGGCATTATTCAAAATTTTTTAAAACATGTATCATGTCGTCATGGTAAACGAGTAAATAAAAACAAAGCTCGGCTCTCTAAAACGCTTCTCCTTTGTACCTTTCTAATCAAATTGAACGCAGATTCGTCAACAATAGCGGGATTAGTGTTAGGCATGGGTAACACCATTGTCACACCACCGGCCAAAGCAGCTGCTGTCCCGGATGAGTAATCTTCCTTATGTGTCGCCCCAGGCTCGCGCAGGTGCACATGCACGTCAATCAACCCAGGCAGACGAACTGCGCGGCCAGACGACATACAGTCAATGTGAGTCTTCAGTTTAGGCGCTCCGCCGATTCTCTTTAGAGCCTACAAATCACAAAGATATACTCTACGTAAAAACGGTAATGTACACAAGGGTATGAATGACGTCAGTTGTGACGTCATAGAAGGTCCAAAACATTCTTGTTTACAAAGTTAAAGGAATTTTACAGACTTGTTCCAAACCATTTAATTTCCAGACTTATGGTGGGCCACTCTACAAACGATAGTTACCCTAGCTCGTGAGACGAACGATTAATCATTCATTTATTATCGTGAAACATCATGGACAAGCACGTCGTTTGAAAAAGAGTTCATAATTACCTCAATAAGAAGTTTGGCACACTTGATGTCTGTGATGAGTGGTATGGAGTAATCTATAGCCATTCTGCGGGTGCGGTAACCGTGTGTTATAAAAGATGAAGCTCGCCTAGAGCCAGTGCTCCTCAGAGGAAGGTTAATCACCAAATCAAACTTGTTCTGTGCAAGGTAGTCTAGGATGCTCTGCTCTGTAGCGCCATTGCCGCCCTCCTCAAATGGCCAATCCACTGCCTTAACCTGCGCGTAAAGAAAACCACTGGGAAGAGGTCAAAGGACCCTACAATTGTATGGCCATCATTATACACTGATGACATTAGGCGTAATTTTCACAAGTAGACCTCTCCTGCGTTAAGAAATTTGCTTCCGAGAGCAGCAAAATTAATCGTTTCATGCACTGCCAAATCTCGCTGAATTAGGCCTTTGCCCAAATAAAGATAATTCCCTGACCATGAAATCAATAAATTCAAATTATCAGGAATACTAACAACCTTCAGCCCTCCCTGGCAGCCGAACTTTCCATCCATCTTTTTTTTCAACACTGGTAAGCTCCAAGCAACTCGCAAGAGAGCACTGGCCACGACTGCATTATAATTCAGTGAAAGATTCCTTCCAGTGTCAACTAAAAAGTATTAAACAAGCGGAAACCGACTGACAGACTGACCAACTGACAGACAAGCTAATTGGGTGACTGACAGACAGGCCGGCGGGCTAACTAACTGTCTATCCGATTGATTGATTGAATGACTGACTGATAAAACAAACAGACAGAGAAAGAGGTAATCTGACTGGCTGATTATATATGAAAGGCTTTTCTCCAAAAATGTAAGTTTTGGCCTTATCATTTCCTGAAATGTGGCCTCCATAAGATATGACGCAACAACCCTGATTACCTTTTGTCATGCTTGGCAATTGAAACTGGCAGCGATTACTCACCTTAATTCCATGCTCCATGTAAAAATCAGCTGTCCCTGGACTAGCATATAACTTGAATCCTAATTCTACCAAAGTCTTAAGGCTGGGCAACATCTCATTCTTGGACTAAAAACATTCAAACGACACGAAAATAAAATTTATGATTTTGTAAGCTGAAGTATACAATTAGAAAAATCAACGGGCTAAAGAAAGTGTCAAAAGAGAATGATAACAAATGGTTAATGAGGAGCTAAGTGTTCAGAGTCCAGACGTTTTTCTCTCAGTGCTGTTGGTCCAAGATATCGAGAGTAAAGTTTTGAGAAAAATATCCCAGGGTATGGAACGCCATAACTGTCTTATGATACTTTTGGTCATGATATTCGGTGCTTACATCCTTATGTTGGGTGCTTACATCCTTATACTCGGTGGTTAAATCATTATATTCGGTATTTACTTCATTATATTTGGCGCGTACTTCGTTATATTCGGTGCTTACATCCTTATATTGGGTGCTTACATCCTTATATTCGGTGGTTAAATCATTATCTTCGGTATTTACTTCATTATATTCCGCGCGTACTTCGTTATATTCGGTGCTTACTTTATTATATTCGGTGTTTACTTTCTTATATTCGGTGCTTAAATCATTATATTTGGTGCATACTTCGTTATATTGGGTGCTCATTTTATTATACTGGGTGGCTTATTCGTTCAGTGTTCACTTTATTATATTCGGTGTTCCCTAAATTATATTCGGTGTGCATTTCATTTTATTCGGTGTTTATTTCATTATACTCGGTGATTAAATCATCCAGTTCGGTGCTTCTGACAACTGGTGAGCACTTCATTATCTTCGGTCCTACCAACATTATACGCGGTGGTAAAATCATTATCTTCGGTGCAAACTTCGTTATGGTCGTCACCAGGCTCCCAATTGTACAGCTTTGTTGAGCGCGAAAAAATGGAAGACATCTTGACGAAACTAAACCTTGAAGCGCTCGTTGCAGTATTTCGACGAGAACGAATCGTTCCTTCAAAAACCTAGTTTAAGTTGGCCATGCAGAAGGGTCCTACTAGAACCTTGCACTGAAACGAAACTTTGATTCTTTTGAAGCTGTACTATAATCTAGTTTTATTGTATTTATAATCTTTGAATAGTGACATTGTTCGACTAGTTAGTTCTAGTTTTAATCTCTATGGCTTAGAATGTATTACTTACTAACTTTAGTTTTGAGGGCCACAGGTTTATCAACGCAAGCTGTTATGCGTATACCCTCTTTAAATAAAGTCGATTATTATTATTACTATTATTATTATTGCAAGGGCTCTTTCCTTTATAGTGACATCTAGTGGAAATGACCTGTCATGAACTCCTTTTCGATGTCTTACAAACCGCTGCAACTCAACGCATCAATAAAAATTGGGTAAAGAGTGGATATTGATTATTAACCCTTCAAAGCAGTTTTTAAATACAGTACTTTTATTAAGATCATTCTTTCTAGTTCTCAGCAACTCTTGAAGCCCTCCTCTAGATGATTCTCTAGTATTGATTTTGGTATGTTGAATTCTGGAGCTCCAGATCCTAAACGATTTCTTTGAGGCTTCCGGTTTCCGTGGATTGAACATTCCATTCGCAAACTCATCATCTCAGAACTATTAGTTACACCCAGCTGCTTCATTTCGCTTGCCGATAACAGAGGAACTACATCAGGGGTGATTTTCTCCTTTTCAAATACTTCTGTTGGATTACTTAAGTTTTGTCGCTTCAGAATGGAGGCCATTGCAGTCTTTTCCGCCATTTTCATAATACTTTGAAAATACGCGGGAAATCGCAGAATTGCATTGTGGGGTTATTACCGCGAACAATGTTTTTGGGAGCCTGGTGACGATCATAACGAAGTTTGCACCGAAGATAATGATTTTACCACCGCGTATAATGTTGGTAGGACCGAAGATAATGAAGTGCTCACCAGTTGTCGGAAGCACCGAACTGGATGATTTAATCACCGAGTATAATGAAATAAACACCGAATATAATGAAGTGCACACCGAATATAATTTAGTGAACACCGAATATAATGAAGTGAACACTGAACGAATAAGCCACCCAGTATAATAAAATGAGCACC